CGAGCATCCTACAACCATCCTCCATCTTGCTGTCGAGGACCCAGTGTACGAGACATTTTTATGCTATCGAAGGAAAACTGTCTTTTGGAGGGTCTTCTGGTGTATAGATTGGCGAGGGATGGATGGAGGAAGGCGAGGAGGAGAGGATGGATGAGAGGGACGTGAGGAAAGAGAGACAGAGAGAAGAGGGAAAGAAGGAGTGAGAGCTTTGTGGTGATAAAGGTAAAGAAGCAGAGTGGAGGCGGGGGAGAGGGAAGCGAAGGAAGAAAAGGGGTGGATGGGAAAAAAAGAGAAGAAGGAGAGAGCAAGAAGTGTGATATCAATAGTTTCGGGGAACGAGGTGGGCAGAGTTAGTAATTGTTTTTTCTTATGATGTTTTGAGACCTTTACAACCAAATATTAGGAAGAAAGAGGTAAAGAACACACACACACACACACACACACACACACACACACACACACACACACACACACACACACACACACACACACACACACACACACCACACACACACACACACACACACACACACACACACACACACCACACACACACACACACACACACACACAACGTCAAGACCGAGATATAAACCCGGACAAAGATCACAGCGAGAGAAAAAAAAACTCTTACTCACCCGGAAGAAGACAACGCGGACAATAAGACATAAAAACCCCTTCCTCCCTTCCCCATGCTTAGAGAACCCATCACCCTCTCCCTATTCTCTCCCAGGATTCGATAGCCTCTCACCTACCCTCGTCTCGGCGTCTCCCTCATCACAATGGCCATTTCATATTCTCCGACGCAACAGCTGATCTCCACCGCTGCCAGGTGGTGCCGCGTCCTGGCCAGAGGCTCTCGCGACGCTGCAATATTGGTCGTATTTTCCGCCGTTTGTCAAAGCGTTTTTGGGGAGGTCGTCTTGGGGTGATGGAGGGCGTGGGGTCCGAGGCCTGTTTTTTGCTCCTTGCGCTTTGTCTCTGGTCGTCCCTCGGCGCCTGTGTGTGTGTGTGTGTGTGTGTGTGTGTGTGTGTGGTGTGTGTGTGTGTGTGTGTGTGTGTGTGTGTGTGTGGTGTGTGTGTGTGTGTGTGTGTGTGTGTGTGTGTGTGTGTGTGTGACAGAGAGAGACATATGTGTTTTCATACATATATTTAGATGGAACACAACATAATTCCTCACTTATACATATCTGTGTGCGTGTGTGTGCCTTCGTGTGCGTATGTGTCTGAATAATTATGGAGTGTCTCCGTCCATATTTCTGTTAGGACCTTTTGCAGGCTGTTGGGAGATGTTCCTGAGAAGATTTCAAAAGTAAATTCCAAGTTTTTCATTCACCATGGACCTCACGGAGCGAAGAAAACGCAATTTTAGTTTTGCTTATCCTAGACTTTCTTGGCTCAAACGTAAACAGTTAGAGGCAAAGTGTGTGTGAGAGAGAGAGAGATAGAAGAGAGAGAGAGAGAGAGAGAGAAGAGAGAGAGAGAGAGAGAGAGAGAGAGAGAGAGAGAGAGAGAGAGAGAGAGAGACAGACAGACAGACAGACAGAAAGACAGAGAGATAGAGAAGATAGAGAGAGAGAAAAGAAACAGAGAGAGAGAGAGAGAGAAAGAAAGAGAGAGAGAGAGAGAGAGAGAGAGAGAGACAGACAGACAGACAGACAGAGACAGACAGACAGACAGACAGAGACAGAGATAGAAGGGGGGAGGGGAGTATAGATAGAGATAGAGATAGAGAGAGAAACATAGAAAGATGGATAGATATTTATAGAGAGAGATAGAAGGACAAACTGTATATCGACGAGATCTGGCGTGGGTGGAACGCCGCCTCCAAAGTACCCCATATCAATGTGTCAGTTTAGGGAGAAGATGAACAAGTTATTCATTGCGTCTAAGTACCAGTAAGTTATACCGTTTACGAGCCTTTGTAAAATTGAAAATGCTCTCACAACTAATCTGATTATTGTGGCCTTTAATATCTTCGTATTACATTTAGGAA